TGATAATCATTTTTTTCATTTCTATAATTTTTTCTTTTTTTTAATATTTGTACTAGCGTCGTTTCGCTGGGTAAAATCATGTTGGAAATGATTCGCATATGAAAATATCAGAGGTGCGAGATCCGGGATTTCAACCACTCGGTTTTCCAAGCGAGCGCGTTCCCGGTCTACCACTGCCTTATAATATATATACATAACTGGTAAACTTAAAAAGTAAAACCTTATCTAAATACATAATTTAATTCAAGTCATCGAGTAATTTCCGAAATACACGAAATAAATTAATATATATGCAAGAATTGCTTATTTAAGCAATTATATTTATTATCTTATTTAAGCAGCTCTAATAACTATAAGATATGATTTTAATTATAGCACAGTTTTTGTTCAATAAAGGAAAGGCTTAGTTTGTAGAGTGATGACTTCATCCAAAGGCCTATTTTCAATTCAATTATATTTTTTATTTAATTAAAACGCTAATGGGGTGAGGCGTGGCGTTATATTTGTTTAACATGAAAGTTACGGCAATTACGCCATCTTGGCTTTGCAAATTTAATAGAAAACGAGGTTATGTACATTGTACACACTTTTGCATTGGAAAATAAATTATTTAAATATAATATTCTTTAATATGAAAAATTTCGCATTATATATATTATTATATTATTTATAACCGCATATTTTCTCTAATTAAAAATGTGATAGCGTGTTTGTTTGTTTGTTTGTTTGTTTGTCCTACTTTCATGATGAAATATTATCAAAACGATTTTTTTGCATGGAGAAATGTCTCATACTTACTGAAAAAATAGAAGTCCTACACACAGGAAATATTGATTGATATGGATTCCCATATAAAGGTAATCAAAGGCCTTGAGGTGACATGATTTTGTTTACCCGAGTGAAACAAAAGAGCCGATAAAGAAGTTGAAAAAACACTGGACTTTACTTTTTTAATTCATATATGTGTAACTAATTTTAACCTGCGGCTTCACTCGCGTGATATGTGGGGTGAGCATCAAGGGTAGCCTACGTCCGATTCCAGGATGCGATCTTTGTCCTAGCCAAATTTCGTCGAAATCTATCTATTTAGTGGTTAAAGCATAAAAGGCAACAGACAGACTTACTTTTGTTTTCACATTTATAGTATTAGCATGGTTTATACTTTCTAAGCATTCGTAGTCTTTTTTAAAATTATGTGTTCATTAAAATACAAATATATTAAATTGATTCATAATCAACAAAGATATCGCGTAACATACACACAAATATATCCAACCAAATTGAGAAGGTTCTCAAGATACTCATTTTTAAAGTCGCTTATAACTTACAATAAGTTGTAAAACTTCGACCTCGGTAAAATTTTACCATACGTAAACGTAATACGTAGGGTATATATAGATTGTATTTTTTTTATTATAAATATTATTTTAAAGTAGTTTTCACACGCTATAAGTTTTCCATTTTACTATAATGTTAATGATTCAGAAAAAATAACAATTTTCAGCAGTCACGACAGAGTCATTTTCTATTGTGACAGAGGAATTCGTGGAACACCCGTGTAAGAAAATTGTTTAAAATCGTTGGATAACCAATATAAAGGCCTATAAAATATAAAGACCAATTTTACTCTCGGATCTACTCAATGCTTACGCACGTACTCAGTAAGTAACAAGTTAGTTAACTAATTGTTATTATAAGTTCTACTATTAGTAAGTTATTTTAGATGTAGATGCAGTTATTTTGGATGGAAAATTGTCTACAAACAAACTACTTTACATAAATTATTTTATTTAATATACAAACACAAGACATACTTAACCAGACAAAACTGGAAGAAACAATGCTTACTGTCATTATCTCCATCCCTGGGGCCTAGAGGGAGATAGGTATCTACTTCACAAAACGATCGGTTTGTCTAAAATAAGGCGACAGCACATAAATCCTCTCGATATCTTGCAAAACTGCTAATATTCTCATGAGAAATTAAGGCATTCCGTAAAGTTGGTACTAAAAGTATTAAGAGAGAAGCTTTTTACTAGTGAAAGATTGCTGAGAAATATATTTTGCGACTTCAATTATAAAAAAGTGTAAAGCTTAAAAATAATACAAATACACGCGTAATAAACTCTACAAGCTGTTAATTTCATGATTACCTAATAACCGCAAGTTCTCAAAGTTTATGTCTTATCATAAAATTGTCATAGCCTAGGTATATTCATGACTACAATAAAAGCGGCTTCATTTGAACTCTCAGTAAAAATCCACAAGTAAAGGTAAGTAACATAGTCAAGCAAAATAAGTTGTAAAATAACAAAATATTATACTATTAATTGGCGACTCACCCTCGCTACGCTTGGGTTCGTCCTTAGTTACGGTTTAATCTTTAGTATACATTTCTTAAAAATGAGATATTTTTTCGCACTAAAAAGTATCCTATTTGTTGACCCGGATAACCAGCCATCGTACCAAATTTCATCAAAATCTGTCCAGTGGTTTTCTCGTGATGCGGTCACAGAGAAACAGGCAGACAAAAAATCTAAAAACTATAGATTCGGCCCCTGTATCGATAATAAAGACTATTTTAATAAGATTTTTCAAAAAATATTCAATGTACAGATTAGACTTAGTTAGAATTTTATTATAATATGTATAGATAAAGAGATTTATTCGAAAATACACAATACTCTATAGATAATAGTTGCTATAGAAAATACCTAGGCAATCAGTAAAGTAGACTGATAGTATATCCGCTTATGACGGGAAGCAAAGGGATTGAGGAAGCCCTACAGGAAATAACAAAGTCAAGGGCGATTGAAAGAGAACTAGAGTCCTTTGTGTAGAATAATGTTAGCGTAGACTAGGGTTAGATAGTGTAAAGTTAGTGTTTTTTTTGTAACTTTAAAATCTTAATAAAAAAACTCTTTTTTGAAAAACTAAAATTTTTATTAATACCTACTGTCTCTCAACATTTTACTACTTCGCCTGTCTCTATAAGTTTTAGAGGTTATAAATACTAATCTCATTATATTCAAAAAGTATTTTACATATAAAATTAAAGTAAAAAGAGATGTTATATAAAAAATTACACGTTTTCTATAAGTCATAAGAATTACAAATTAATACTGACCATCAAAAAACTATTCTTTACTACCTAAAAATATTACTGTAGATACTTAGCGTAATAATTTAGCATTTATTACGATAGAATATCTTTTAGAAAAAATATTAATATTTATAAAGATTTTTTTTGTATATATATTCATGTAGTTTATGACTATTTTTTTCTATCAACGAAATATAAGCTTACCTGAAAAATATTTACAAATATGCTTAAAAGTGCAAAGTTATAAATATCTTTCAGATACATTTTTTTTTGTATTTTATTTATGTTGTTATTTTATATCATCATTAACATTCATATAGATCTTAAGTATGTTAAAATAATCTCATGTCACCAACCAACCACCACCACGCCCTATCTATTCTACGTGGCATTGACGAAATACATTGTGCTAAATTGGCATGCTTAGAAGCCAAATTGGCAATTGAATTTAATTCTCGTTACTTCTAAGAAATTTAAAGAATCTCATAAGTAACATTTTTTCTTATACGCTAATCATTTTTTCCTATTTGATTTTAATAATAAATAGTAGTCCCACGAAGTGGACCGGATGCAGACTGAAGACCGGTTAGCTTGAAAATCTTTAGGCAAAAGGTATCCTAATCCAACAATTGAAGTATTTTAATTAAAACTTACATTATAGATAAAATATATACAATACATATAAGAAATAAATACCGTGATCTGAAACTGAATGAATATACAATTATAGCTACAGTTTTCCTTGTATTGATAAAGCTTTTCTAATAAATAACAAAATCTAGTTTAACTAAATAATTAGATTAGCTGCCGGCGACAGATCCAATAGTCGGATAAACTCAATTATTGATGGAATTTCCCTTTACAGTAGTTACTAATAGCTATGATATGACACTGAAATATTATTCTTTTGTCTTATTTTACCTTAGTGTTATCTTACTAATGCGAAAGAAATACTGTGCCATTTTTCTTTTCTTTCCAGTAACGGAATAACGATTCCAATAACGACGAGAATAACGATATTTTATGACCGGAAAGTAGATAAAATAAATCTGCCATAGATCTCTTTTATCTACATGATGACTTTATAGGCACATATAATTTTCATCTGTTGATAAAATGGATTGCACGGGTTACTCATATCTCTGTCAGATAAAAGCTGTTTAATACAAATTGTGAAAAAAATGATTTATACATTTCTAAACTCCCATTATATAATTATATTTATATACAACTAGTTTATGGCTTCGCCTCCGCTCTTAATATAGGCCCCTTGATAACGAATAGATATGATTGTCCCATAATGCAATCCGTGCTAAGTTTCATCGAAATCTGTTGAACGGCTTAATCGTGAAAACGTAGGTAACAAATATTAACATAAACTTTTACATTAGCATAATTTTTATATACCTACACATCTCATTAGCGTAATTAAATTAATAATAATTATTATTTTATTCAAATACATTTACAAAGTTATATAATATTTACAAAATAAAATATAACGGATGATACTCGTATAATTTGGAACTTAATTAATTTAATACATAAAATATGTAGCTAAAATAAACATTACTTCTATGAAGAAAAAATAAAAGCGTAAATATTACAGATCCAAAAAGAAATAAAAAAAATGTAATTATAAAAAAATCTGTATATAAAAACTTGTTATAGTAAGCAAAATTTAAATATGAAGATAATAACTCTTTTTCTATACGTCTACATCACGATGACAAAGAAACGTAGCACTGAAAAAAACTTAAAGGACCTTCACTTTTTATAATAGCCTACAAAATCAAATTCTCATCAATATATGCTTAGGAAAATTATATATGTATAACATTATATAATATTGAAAGGTAAATTGTCCTTGAGAGTGTCACTGCGACAAAGTACATACCTGATTCGGCGTCGCGGTCTCCGTCGTCATATCGTCGAAGGACGCTAGTCTACTCTTCCTTCTTCGCTGACATGAACAGCAGTTAAGCTTCACCAGCCTCAAACCTGCTCACGCGTACTATCCAGTGAACTAACTAGACGACATCGCGGAAGAAATATCGATTTTCACCCTGTCCTTGCAAACTGACGCTATACGGATAACTCTCAATCCTGTTCCGAGACCTTTGAAATTAAATGGAAGAACGCGACGGATCCGCCATTTGCCTAACGAATTTAGAGTCCTTTCGCACAAAAACTAATTTAATCGTAGAAAAACACTAAGCGACAATTAAAGCTGAAGCAATACACATACACACGACGGGGGACATATTTAAAGAATTTATTTTTGGTAAAACGAAGAGATTCGTCGTAGTTGTTGCGTTTGGGACGTCACCTCGGGGGTGTAAAAGAATTTTGCCGGCTTTAGACGACAAGTAGATGGGTGGGGTGAGCTAAAGCGCCTGCGCGGAAACTACCCTAGTGTGGGTGGTTTGCGTGTATGCTATTACTGTAGCTGATATAAGCTGGTCTCTCTGCGTCCCCCGATGTCGTACCTTGTTATGAGATTCGGGGTCAGTTTGCTAGGTACTAGAGGTTAGTTTAAAATGGTTTTATTCACAAATACAATCGATAATGCAGAGCTCAGAGGAAATATCAGACACGGTGTCGGGCGAACAAAGCGGCAGCTAGATTCGCAAGCGTCAAACAATTATAATTTATACTAGACTAAATAAAGAAGCGACTGATGTATTGCTTTAATGATATTTAAAAAGAAATATTGGAATAAAATAATATGTTAAATCCTAAAATACTTAAATGAAAGATTTTTTCTTAATTTTTAACATATCAATGTATATAATTTAAAAAGGAATTTACAGATCAAATACTATATCAAAAATATTATAAGCTATAATTGTTAAAATAATAATATTACTTTTAAATTAAATACATAATTATAATTTGGCACTTAATACATAATAAAAAAATACGTAATATATAAATACTCGTAAGTACATAGCTGCTTAGATTATAATTTACATTTGCAAAAATGCTCGCAAGTTACACTTATCATAACTGTAATTCCATTCCAATCATCATATGATTACGTTTCGTCTGGTTGTGATTCGCAAAAAATTGAATCATGATGAATATTCAATCTTATGCTCGTAAATCTGTAATTTTTGCGCTATCATATAAATAAAAAATATTATAAATACTTTATCTCATTGTTATAAAACAAAAAACAATATTTATATACATATATATATATATATATATATATATATATATATATATATATATATATATGTCGTGTTATCCATATACTACGAACATCATCTTTGGTGGTTACTCATCTTGTGGGCGTTATCAGGGCTCAAATAATAAAGTATTCAGTGCTCAATACACAATTTAATCAGGGAAGTCACAATGTTATTAACTTGAAACGGTAATTCTAATGATTTAGAGCTAGCGGGTTCACAGTCACCGATCATCGACTTCCAACTACAATATCAAATATCACTCTCTATGATCAACCAACATTACTAAGCCACGTATCTCCAAATAATGTCGTGATGGCGTCTCGACCCCGCTCGAGACTAAATCTCTGCTCTAAAATCAAAATCTATTTAGAAGCAATAAAAAGTAAATTAAAGAACATAGTGACTTTAAACAATAATAAGGTTTCATAACAGAAAAAGGTAACTAAATCCTCCTCCGTCTTATATATATATGTCGTGTTATCCATATACTACGAACATCATCTTTAGTGGTTACTCATCTTGTGGGCGTTATCAGGGCTCAAATAATAAAGTATTCAATGCTCAATACACAATTTAATCAGGGAAGTCACAATGTTATAAACTTGAAACGGTAATTCTAATGATTTAGAGCTAGCGGGTTCACAGTCACCGATCATCGACTTCCAACTACAATATCAAATATCACTCTCTATGATCAACCAACATTACTAAGCCACGTATCTCCAAATAATGTCGTGATGGCGTCTCGACCCCGCTCGAGACTAAATTTCTGCTCTAAAATCAAAATCTATTTAGAAGCAATAAAAAGTAAATTAAAGAACATAGTGACTTTAAACAATAATAAGGTTTCATAACAGAAAAAGGTAACTAAATCCTCCTCCGTCTCGGCCGTCCTGCTGTTCACACGCCCTCGGATGATCTTGTGGGGCACTCACCACCGCTATTTCTTCTACCACGGCCGTCCTGCTGTTCACGCGCCCTCGTGTGATATTGAAAATCGATCTATAGAAAAAGTAACATTAGCTCGGCTATTCCTGACCAAATAACTGACCATGGTGGCCAAACTTACTAGAACTAGCCATCGGTGCAGTAGATATTTAGTGCAAAAGTGTACGCTCAGACAGGCATAGACAGACACAGACAAATTCCAATGTGCCTAACACAGTGAGTATTGGGCAAATTTTTGCTTTATATGTTAACAATAAAGAGCGATTCAAATCATATTCATTCTCCCTAACTAGTTTTCTTTGAGACAAAGCTGCTAGATATTATTGGAAATAACTAAAATTACAACCGTATTTACGGTACATTTCGATATCAATGGCCTGACACATCTAAACAAAACTAAATACATATTTTGAACACTTGAAATGAAGCACCTGAAAATTCATATTATTTAATATTATGCCACAGTTATTATTACCATCGGCCCGATCTAATTATGCTTAATCTTTGGACCAAATAATAACATGTGAAATCGGTATTATAATCAAAGATTTCTATCAAAGTAATTCTGTAAAACAACCCGCATATGCATCGCCATTTTGTGCGTCATTTTTTATAAGATTTGACATCGCATTTCGTTTCAGTTCGAGAAAATTTTTGCAACAAAATTTTCAAATGGCCGCTGTCATCTATCTTTGCCCTGTTCTTCGGGTATCATACCACTTCTGATGTCGTGTTATCCATATACTACGAACATCATCTTTGGTGGTTACTCCTTGTGGGCGTGATCAACCAACATTACTAAGCCACGTATCTCCAAATAATGTCGTGATGGCGTCTCGACCCCGCTCGAGACTAAATCTCTGCTCTAAAATCAAAATCTATTTAGAAGCAATAAAAAGTAAATTAAAGAACATAGTGACTTTAAACAATAATAAGGTTTCATAACAGAAAAAGGTAACTAAATCCTCCTCCGTCTTATATATATATGTCGTGTTATCCATATACTACGAACATCATCTTTAGTGGTTACTCATCTTGTGGGCGTTATCAGGGCTCAAATAATAAAGTATTCAATGCTCAATACACAATTTAATCAACTTGAAACGGTAATTCTAATGATTTAGAGCTAGCGGGTTCACAGCCGCTCGAGACTAAATCTCTGCTCTAAATTCAAAAGCACTAAAAAGTAAATTAAAGAACATAGTGACTTTAAACAATAATAAGGTTTCATAACAGAAAAAGGTAACTAAATCCTCCTCCGTCTCGGCCATCCTGCTGTTCACACGCCCTCGTGTGATCTTGAAAGTCTAGCATAAACGTCATCTGTAGACAGAAAAAAAGCAAATTTTTAGAAAACATAGTTCGGCCAATCCTGACCAATAACTGAGCACGGTGGCCGATCTTACTAAAACTAGCCATCGGTGCAGTAGATATTTAGTGCAAAAGTGTACGCACAGACACGTACACAGTATTAAATTATTTTTAACTTTATTCTCCTTAATCATTGAATAAGCTAGTTATCTTTAGGACAAATTTTTCAAAGCTTAATCTTTAAACTGACTGAAACTTTAAAACTACACACACGAAGTTATCACAGAAGTGAGTTTCTCATATGTTAATCAAGTTAAGTCACGATGCCACACAGACAACTCTCGCCATTCAGGCTACATGTGCCACAAGGTTACTTTTGCCACACAGGCAACTCAGAACCGTATATAACGGTACATTCTGAGATCACTTGCCTCACATATCTAAACATAATGGAAACGTCTCACCATATAACATTCATATTAGATTAAATAAAACAGTCCACAGATATCCATTTTTTTGCACAGCCCAAGCATCTCCGGACACCGTCTTCTTTTAGGGCATTGTATACGTCTCATGTGGTCTGGCTTAGCGTGATTTATCTTACTGAAGAAATCGTCCCCTCTATGCTAAATACATATTTTGAACACTTGAAATGAAGCACCTGAAAATTCATATTATTTAATATTGTGCCACAGTTGTTATTACCATCGGCCCGATCTAATTATGTTTAAGCTTTGGACCAAATAATAACATGTGAAATCGGTAATTTCTTTTAATTAGTATCAAGTGCTAAATAAAAAACTATGTAATTTTCTCAATATAATTCGCAAATATCGTCCGTTTATTTTCCGTCGATAAATAGTTAAATCTGTTAGTCAAATCTTTAAACAAAAATATCAACTCATTATTCACTTTAGAAATCCTGAAATAAAGAAAATATAAAGCAAACAATTACAATACAAAACATTTTTGACACTCTAAAATTCTGACATGATTTATATTTTATTTCAGAACTAGAAGAAGGTCCTTATAAGCATCGAACAAAACATTTCAAAAATAATTCATAATAAAGTATTCAATGCTCAATACACAATTTAATCAGGGAAGTCACAATGTTATAAACTTGAAACATAATAAGGTTTCATAACAGAAAAAGGTAACTAAATCCTCCTCCGTCTTATATATATATATATATATATATATATATATATATATATATATATATATATATATATATATATATTGCATTGTTGATCAGGAACAACAAAGAATTAGTTCAATAAAACGTAGAACGAGAAAAAAAATAGATGGCGTAATATATTACATACAAATATGGATTTTTTATTGATATTTTTATAAAAGATCTCTCCTAAGCAATGGCTTACTAGTCATAGTAAATCAAATCTTCACAGATTTTATTGATGATTGAAAAATCAGCTTTTAAAACAATAAGTTTGTACTGCGTTATCATGGATGGTGCACTTTCCATACATACCTAAATAAGTATTCTATACATACATATGATACTAAATGTCAGATACCTATACCTAGCGTCGTTTCGATTTTAAGACTGAATAACTGCACATACATTAGACTGAACTGGCCTTGAGTGGAAATTGAACCCATTGCTCTTTATTTTATTTCAATAGTATGTCTAAAGTAATTAACATATTGATTAAATAAATCTATGTGACTTTGAAAAGTAAACTATTTATATAACCAAGCATCAAACAAAACTGATCGCGACTACTTAAGAACTTAAGTGAATTAATAGTTTAAAAGCCACCTGAACTTGTTAACATAAGCAAGTCTATAATTAAAGTTTCTGATAAAGTTATTCAGAATGTATTTCAAGAAGTATTTATTATCAAAATTATAAAACATAATAACAATGATACAAACAAAATAAAAAACAAAATACATATTTTTATCTTAATAATTCTTATTGCTTTATTTTTTTAAATGAAAAAAAAAAGTTTTTGCATAGTTAAGGTTAATGATCAGTCCTCGTTTTGCTCTTAAGTTGATATTACAAACTAACACTTCACACCCTCCTGCCACCTCGTTAAATGGGTTCTACTTTATAGTGTAGCCCCCTAACATTGTATCAAATGTTACTTTTACCCTTACTAATGTTATAGAACAACGTGACACACTACTAGAAAAAATTGCAAATTCTATTATGTCTTCATTATTAATCAACCTGTTGAAGTAAGAAATTGGAGCATTTAATGGTTTTAATAAGGGGTAGGGGTATATATGATGGACTTTTTTAACTATTTTATACTGAAAATATTGTTCGTTGCTTTATTATTTTGTCTGTTTTAATATGATCATATACCAGTCAGAATTGAAATAATCTTTTTTTTCTCTTTATAGCCTATTTAATGAGGCAGGCTATATAGCCACATGCTTGGACCCTTGGGAGTAGAACAACTTCTGTACAAACTATGAGTATTGGTCACAAAGTACATACATTAAGCGAGAACGAAATTGTTATATGAGCATATTATTCTATTTGTAGGCTTTGTATTTTATAACCGTACAAAAAAGATAAAGAAAGAAATAAAACAAAATATTCAAGAATCAGAAGAATAAAAAATCCAAATAATTATTTAGTACTAGCATTGCCCGCGACTCCGCCCGCGTTCTGGTGACCAAAAACCAAAATCTTAACTTTTACATGTAAGTATACTCTTACATAATAATAACACTTTTTGTTTTAATAGTAACATTTATTTATAGTATGTCCATACTTCTTTTTTGTTTGTTTGTTTGTTTAATTTTGGGCGAAAAGTTTAGTTACAACAAGTTTCTTATACGTCTCGTAGTTTTTGAGATATGAACTAATTTTAGTTGCTGCTTTGTCAGTTTAATAACTATGAATCTTTTTTCCATAAAATGTTAAAAAAATAACATGAAACGGACTTATTTTTATGGTTGATAAAATTAGTATATTGTGGAAACGTTAATATTATTCGTATAAATATTTTAATGTTAACTTAGCAAAATATCTAAGTAAGAAAAATAACGCAGTATTTTGCTAAACGGAACCTATAATGCGAGAGTTGGACGTGCATTTGCCCAATTTTATATTAAAGAAAAGATTTACAAACTTTAGCATTATTTACAAAATAATAAAAATTTACAAATATTTTCATTTGAAAATTGTTTCAGCTAACACAATATAATTAATAATATTTATATTCATATAATTAATATAATTAATTAAAATAAATATTACTAATATGTAATTAATAAAATAATAAACATTAATAAAATCATAGAAACGTATGTGCATTCAATATCTGTACATTCAATTTATTGGAATTAAAACTACGTATTTTATAAACACATGGCGGCATCTATTGTCGAATATCTAAAAACACATAAATAAATATTTTAGGACTTATTTTAATGAATAAAATAGCGTTATTAATATTATTTTTCATGATAAGCTTTTTTAATAGTTTTTACAATATTTAGTATGTTGCCTTGCTAAAATGTTTATAGTATCATCGTGATTTTAGTCTAACCAGTTTTTAAATTTTTCTCAGAAATGACATATTTTCCTGCGGTAAAAAGTATTCTATGTGATGACCCGGATAACCAGCTATGACAATACCAAATTTCATCAAAATCCCTCCAGTAGTTTTTGTGTGATGCGGTAACAGACAGACAGACAAAAATTCTAAAAACTATAGATTCGGTCTCAATATCGATAATAATGACTATTTAAATAAGATTTTACAAAAAATATTAAATGTACAGATTTGACTCAGAATCCTTCTAATATTATAAACACGAAAGTTTGTAAGAATGTATGTATGGATGTATGTTTGTTACTCTTTCACGCAAAAACTACTGAATGAATTTTGATGAAACTTTACAATAATATAGCTCATACATCAGAATAACACATAGTCTACTTTTTATCTCTATCTCCCTACTTTTTATCTATGAAAAAATGTAGTTTTATTATATGTATAGAAGATTTAGTAATATTATAAATTTTTCATTTTTAAAGACAATGTGTGGGTAGTTGAGTAAAACTATAATTATAATAATGTTAAATTAATATTATAATGTTAAATGTTGACCCGAGTAATAAGCTATCAATACACAAAATTGAGTTAAAATCGGTTCAGTGCATTTTGCTTGAAACGGGAACAGATAAGCAGACAAAAATTTCAACAACTATTGTTTGGGGTCAATATTTTGTACACAATACCTAACGGTATTTTTTTTTTATATTTCATGTATAGATTTTACTTTGTTACTATTGTATTATTTTACCATTGTAATATTTTTTTTAGATTTATGAAAATTAAAAATGAATATCCGTTCCTTTTGAAAGGGGCTAGAATAGTTTCCAGTACTTAGTAGGAGTGATAAAATAAAGACAACATATTTAATATAACATTTATTTCTTACTAATTATTAAAATTGAGATCAAATTTCTAGAATCAGTCTCCTCATAGAACAGCAATGACAAAAAAATAAATACATTGAAAACACATACATTTACTACATCTCATATTGTTATTATAATACCAAGGACCTGAAAAGATAATACACCTTAATATTACATCAATACACCGAATAAAACTGATACATGTGACATATTTCATTAACAAAGTGAGATACTTATTCATTATTTTACTTTGTCGATCCGAACTTCCAATTATTATTATTATTATTATTATTTTGATTACATATTCTTCCAAGAGCTGAGTTAATTCAATTTTCACTGTTATGAGGCAATTTTTTATAAAATCTTACATATTTCTCAGGAATGTTACCGCTATCACATAAAAACATTAAATCTCTATACTTTGCATCACATAATGGCAACATCTTATTATAAGCCCTCGATATTTCAAGAGATTCAGAACGTATTCTTGTATCAATTATTTCATATTCTTGGTTAAAGTCGTATCTAAATTTAATTTTAGAAGGATCGTCACTTGAGATAAATACTTCTCTGACTTCATTCCATAAAACAGTTTTACCTTCGATATCTTTGTGCCATTCCAGATCATTCACGTGGCTTTGAAAATCATAAAAATCATTTTGTGTCATATCAATAACTTTATAAGGCTCTTGGCAATTTGTCCTAGCCCATTTCACAAGTACCTTCCATTCTTCAGGTGTAAATATATGTTTAGTGGATGAAACTTTTTCAATCACAGAGTGGACGCTAGTAACTTCACTTTGAACATGGTCTTTAACATGAAAATTGTGATAAATATTTACCTTACTTGTCAAAGCAACAGTGATGTAAACGTAAAATATGACGTGATTCCTACTTTCGTCATTCTCAGACCAAAATCTGAATTCTTCCACGCCCTTTTCAATATTTGCATTTAAAAAATCAAAAAAACAGCTACTTACTTCATTAGCTCCATTCTTAGCGACACATTCGTCCCACATATAGCAGACTGGACGTTTAGAACTCATATCAAGTATGGGTAAATTGAAGCAGAGCAGCTTTCTCTTATTGTTAAAAATAGACTCTTGTCCATGGGGGCAAGGTAGTAACTTCTCAATGTCAAAAATAGCAGATATTATCTTACCATTTGAAACACTTGCCTCTAATTTATCTTGGTTCTTTTTATTATGAGCAGTTACTATGTTTTGAGTGTGGATTATATGTCTTGCTGTTTGCTCATCGCTAGGTATACTTAATTTACGAAAGGTTTGACACTGGTCACATTCATCTTTTTTTGTAATATAGAAACCCAAATTAAAGTTTTTACTGACTATTTCTCTATACTTTCTTTGAGTTTTAACTCTACGAGCATATTTGTTAGGATCTAACCATTCATTATATAATTTAAACATTCGTGGAATGTCCAGTGATCCATCCAAATACAACTTGTTGCTTTTTCTTCCTAAGAAATGCGTTTCAACAGGAATGAATGAGTTTACATGATCACGCACGCTTTTAACCATAGTTTTAATAACCGTACGCATATTTTTCGGATGAACCTTTGTATCTGGTGTTACATCTTTTAAGTCTTCTTCATACTTTTCCCAAGCTGTTTTTACTGTGTTGTCACTTACCACAAGTGTATTCAAAAACATTCTTTTACAAACATTAACTGTTGTACCCTTGGAGGTAGGTAACTTATATTTAAATGTAAAGTTACGATGGCTTATTGTGTTACGACTTACACATCGTTTCTTTTTATATTTCTCTGTAAAAGCAATTATGTAATCAAATTGTTTTTGTTTATCCCCTAGATCTCGGAATTTCTGATATATTTTATTTCGTTCATTATCATTTAACTTGTCAGAACATTTATGAACACATGTGCATGGTCGCCCAATAGAATCACCAAGAATGATGTTGTACCGTTTTATTAAATGTTTTTGACTTGATTTTTTTAATTTTCTACGTAGTAATAATGACAAATTGGACGTTTGATTGATATTTTCTTGCAATTCTGCAGGTGGTAAAGGTATATTAGCTACATTTTGTGCTTCTGTTGTTATTGTAGTTGATGTAAACAGCGGTGATGTTGATACTGATCTAACTTCAGAGTTGAGTTGTTCAAGGTTATTTAAATAGTTATCCTTTAATGGTGGTTTTACCGTTTTGAGACAGTTACATTTAATATCACCTGATGTCAGACTATGATTGTGATATTCTGAGTAATTATTAAAAGATTTTAAATTTATATCTGTATCATATTGATTTTCCTCAATAGACGGCTGCTCATGATCTCTGCAAAAGTGTTCTTTACAATCTGTAAGACAAGGTACTAATGGAGCATCATAAGTATGCGCGTTACTTCTTTCATCACCATTACACAAGTCTTTAGGATTCCAGCTTTTGTTTTCGGTAACAGTCGAACTGTTGTTATTTTGGATAAGAAAATCTGTTTGGTTATATTGGTTATTGTTAGAAATATAAAAACCTAAGTCAAGATTCTTTTTCACTAAATCTCTATATTGTTTCTCAGTTTTAGCTCTACGAATATATTTATTTGGATCTAGCCATTCATTATATAAACGAAACATACGAGAAATGTTGAGTGATCCGTCTAAATATAATTTATTAATATTCTCTCCTAGGTACTGTGAACCAACAGGAATGAAAGAATTCACATGGTCACGCACACTTTTTACCATTGTTTTAACAATAACTTTCTTATGTATTTTGCGACGGCCTCTTTTAGATTGCACAAACTCTTTGCCATTTTCAAAATTATCCCAAGCTATTCTAACAAGCTTATCATTTATCATAAGAGTATTTAAAAACATTTTCTTACAAACTGTAACTTCTATATCCTTTGAAAGAATAGGCAATTTGTATTTAAATGTAAAAAGACGATTATTTGTTACATTTCGATTTTTACTACTGTTCTTTTTAAATTTATCTGTGTGGCTTAGTAGAAAATCCAATTGTTTTTGTTTATCTTCTAGTTCCCAAAATTTCTGAGATATATCCAAACGTTCGTTATAATCTATTTTACTGTAACATTTATAAACACATTTGCAAGGTGGGTTTATATATTTTCCCTTCAGATTTTGGTTTATTCTTTTTCTACCCTCTTGCCCTAAATTCGATACCTTTTGTTTTTTAACTGTGTTGTCTGTGAACATTGAAGGGTCTCTTGGACGTTTTTTAGGTGGTAAAATTAATTCTATACGTGAATCGCGTTGCATTTGTGCGTTTGGATTAAGATTTTCAACAGCATTTTCATTTGAAATTGGCGCGTTAGATTCTGGTATTGCGACTTCGTCTACAGATAGCACTGGTGTTGAATTTTGACTACATTCAGAGTCAAGAACATTTTCAATATCAAAAGGAGTTTGTTTAGAAACAATCAATTTGTTGTAAGAATTATATTTGTCGTTGGAATTATTATTTTTAATACATTCATTTGAAGTTTCTAATAATTTGGATTGATCTTTATTATATCCAAGTCCGTTAGTAGGTATCTGATCATGTTCTATAAAAAATGCATCTTCAGTATCGGTAGAACAAGAACTATTTTCAGATGGTAAAATGGTACTGAAGTTGCTAGTAGTGCTAGTTGTAGCTTTTGGTAGAATAATTGTAGATGGTGTTTCATAATCTTTAGCATAATCACAATTGTCGTTATTATTATTATTGTTGTTACGGGTAAGCGGATCAGTTGGATCTTGAGAGAGATCTGACCATTCTTTTTTATCTGTAACAAATGCATAAGTTATGTAAATATTTTATTTACTTCTATATATTTTATATTTAAACTTATATTCATTAGGCGTAAAAGAGGTATTTTGTGATAATAAGCCTTGTAGAAATTATTTATATGAAATCGCTTTAATATAAAGAAAGAATATTTAAAAACTATAAAAATGTTAAATACTAAAAAATAATAACACATTCTAGTGATATAAATTTTCTAAATATTATATACATTATAATATATCGCCAATTGTTATTAAAGAATTTCGATTATTAATAGTTAGATATCGAAGCCATAATTGCAGCGCATATATATCTATTTTGTAAATGTATAAATATGTATATTTATAACTATGTATTTATATTATGATTATTATTATCAAAAATCGCAACAGACTTAAAACTAGATTATAACGTTAGCAATATATAGCAATCTCTGTTTGTAACAAATATAATATGCTTACATTTTAGTAAACAATAATGATAAAAAAATATATTCAGTACCTCTAACAACAACAAAAACATAAGTAGGTATAATATTTAATGAACATTTAGCGGTAATACGTATAAGTCACCTACAAACATTCAATTTGACAAAGCATTGCTCTTATTGTTTTGATTTTTAAAGTATGTCAATGCAACCCTCGACCCTCACTTAAAGGGGTGCTAATGCCTGTAGATGATAATAAAACGATGACATAAGAGTATTGGTTATGTACATATATTAATTATAAGTCTATTTTACATTGCAAAGTTTCTTCAAAATATGTCCAGTCTGACACACATGCTAAGCCCACTAACTCCTTATTACAAATATCGTTAAAAAGTAATACCCATAATAAATATTCCGAAAAGAACATCATAAATACAAAAATAGCAGCAATCAATATAACTTTTCCACGAAATGAGCGGACAGTTTTTTATTAACTGCAGAACATATCATGACCTATTTAATCGTGGGAATACATCTTGAACAAAGAAACATATAAATAACAAAAATTTCTGAAACTGTCATAAAAATATAATAACTGACCTACCTTTATTATATAAACGATGCCTAACCGATTCTATTGATTACTTATTAATAAATATATGAAAGCCAAAAGCAATTTGTGATTATAATCGATCGGTTAGTATCGTTAATTATATTATATATAAGCTATAAGAAAATAAATATTTTTTACCTGTTGAACTTTGATTTTCCAGGGCCATTTTAGAGCATTTAATGTAGAAACGACGACCTAGCTTCCAGAGAACACGGTCGCGAGTGCCGACGCGTTGGGAGGACCCCCCGCGACGCGCACGGAGGACGAAGGGCATCGCAACCAATGCATTTTCCTATGCAATGAAATATGGCGTCGGTCAATACATTTTGTACATATATATCTAATATATACATATATGTATAAATAACTTATTTACTTATATACATATATCACTTAATTATAGTAATCAAGATATTTAGGTAATAGTAATATTTTATGTTCCCAGGATCGTTTTGAATGTTCAGCTAAAAACATATACAGGAATATTTATGACCTTTACGGAAATAGAGTTCAAAATTGATTAGTTAGTTATCGAGCGGCTATCTCGCACTAACAAATCTGCGTATCTCACTCATTGCTACTGTTTTCGTAATGTGCTTTATATTGTGTAAGATTTTTCAGAATGATGTTATAAAATATTCCTTTTTTATATTAATGTCAGTTGTGTTTATGGACAAAATGTTTTAACCTTTTCTAGCTTTGGATCTCACTGTGATTTCATTATATTCTATACATCTGATATCATCTGAATGTTTCATAAAACATAACATGAGGCAAAGTTTCATTATAACGTCTTAATAATTCACCTGTAATCAATATTGAAAGAAACACATCTAAGGACTATATAAATATACTTTTGTGATAAATCTATACAATACGTTATCTATTAAATTATGAAATACAAGCATGCAGATGACCAAGAACCAAATTCTCAGGTTTTACATATTAGTATACATTTATTAGTATACATTGCAGTTTTTGTATTTTTTCTCAGAAATGAGACATTTTCCCGCGGTGAAAAGTATCCTATATGTTGACCCGGAGAACCAGCTATCACCATCCAAATTTCATCAAAATCCCTCCAGTGGTTTTTCTGTGATGTGATAACAGACAGACAGACAAAAATTCTAAAAACTGTAGATTCGGCCTCTGTATCGATAATAATGTTTATTTCAATAAGATTTTCCAAAAAATATTTAATGTTCAGATTGAGCTTAGTTACAATTTTATTATATGTATAATGAATCACCCTCAGACAAAAGAAAATATCACAAAGAAACCTGTATATTTGTGAGAACTCAACTAGTTTTGAAAGACGTGGGAAGTCCGCCCAAAAATCTTTTAACCAGCATGGTGGACTATGTCTTTATCCACATTTATTCGCGTTAGGAGGAGGAAAAATTATTTTTATTATAATATACTTTTGATACTTTTACAACTATGTCTAAATATTACTATGCTACTACTATTTTTATATTAATATTTTTTTTATAATATACTATTTGAACTAGTATTAAATTAATATAAAAAATTCTTGGAGGTGGGCGTTATTGGCTACAACACAGTTTTCAACTAACGAAGTCTTTATCGTACAATCTACCAGTATAATGTATTTCAGTTTGTTCCAATAAAGATTTTATTATATTATTATTTTACTTATTTATTTGTAGTCTAGAGATGCGCCCACTATGGGTACAATCGAATACGAATTTTCGGCCGAATATTAGATAGAAATTTACCGAACCGAAAATTCGGCCGAATTATTCGGTCCATTTTTACGTAGTAAACGTGTTATTACAGTATACATGTAGGTATTTCCGATAACAGCGGGGCAGTAAATGTACAAAAACTAACTTTTCTTTGTTGGAAAACAAATGTTGATTTAAGTATATTAAAAACCAAATTTTGTTGATTTTTTAAATATTTATATTATTTTTAATTGACTTTCAAAAAAGAGGAGGTTCTCAATTCGTCGGAATCATTTTTTAACTATGTTCACCGATTACTCGAAGACGCCTGAAGCGCTTTGGATTTTTTTTTGTTTATAAGGGTATACTTCCTATTTAAATTTTACCGAAATCGGTCGAGCGGTCTTAAAAAATCAACAATATTTTTTTTTAAATAAATTGCTTAGTCTAACATGTTATTAAAAAACTTTCTTCTTACAAATAACTTGCTTATTACATTACACTAAAAATGGAAAAATAAAAACTTAAAAGTAATAAAAACCGACTTCCAGGCACTAAAATGCAAAAAATAACGAAACGGGGGTTTTCTGTCTGTCTGTCTGTCTGTTACCGCATCACAGAAAAACCACTGGAGGGATTTTGATGAAATTTGGTACGGTGATAGCTAGTTATCCGGGTCAACATATAGGATACTTTTTACCGCGGGAAAATGTCTCATTTCTGAAAAAAATACAAAACTGCAATGTAAGAGTTTACTAATATGTAAAACCTAAGAATTTGGTTTTGGTCATCTGAACGCGGGCGGAGCCGCGGGCAATGCTAGTAAGGATATAAAAATACGAATACAAACACGCACACATGCATATATACATACACTTTTATTAATTTTATTATCATATTTATTGTTTACTTTATCTCGTAGGATTAAAATAATGCTGTATATTTTCATAAAAATAACACAAAGAGTAAACTACGAGTATATATAAACATCGTATAAAATTTCATGTAAATATTTTACCTCCATTTTGGTGTAATATTTTATTAAAACGTAAGCTAGGTTAAAATAAAACATCCACGTGCCTCGGAAAGCATGTTAAACTTTCGGTCCTACCCCTTATTATTCACTGTACGTTTCGAAATGACGTTCTACCGAAATATTGGAGTTATAAGAATAGAGTGCACTTAGAGTTTAGCTTTAATCAGTTAAAATGAATCTGCGACGTTTATTGTTTCCTTAATTGATCTCGTACGATTAATGTAAAGTAATTATGCTGTGTATTTTCATAAAAATAACACGAAGGGTACACGTTATATCATCATAGTCATCTCCCTGCCTATTTCCCAATCACTTGAGATCAGCGCAATACGAGTACATCTTCCGTAATACTGATAGGTTATATGCAGTGTAGTACACAATTTCAGTGTAAATATTTGAACATTAGAAGATTCCATCCTCCATTTTGGTGTAATATTTTATTAAAACAATAAGCTAGGCTAAAATGTATTGTAAAGACAACCTTATTGCTTTAAGTTATAGTAGTTTTACGAATTGTATAGAATTTGCTAATAGTTTTATTGAAGTGAACCTGACCTTTAGTTCTGGTACCATTTGGAAATGTCAGCGCTCACTAAATTAAAAATAACTGTATTTGGAACATGGAAATTTCATTTATAGAGCTTTAGTTATACCAAAGGTTAATATATACATTAAGTATTTATAGAAAATCTAGTTAACTAAACAGTTTCTTCGTTTAGTTATGGTATTTTTACTGATTTAATGCCATAATTATACAGACAAATAAAATTGAAGTGTCTGTTTATAATGTTGAAAAAAAGGGTTTTTACTATATGCATATGAAATTATATACGTTACTTTAAAAAAACATAATTTATAAAAAAATGTCAATCTGTCTATTTGTTCCGGCTAATCTCCGAAACGGCTAGACTGATTTTCACGGGATTTTCACTCGCAAATAACTGATGTTATAAGGAGTGACTTAGGCTACTTTTATTTTAGAAAAAGAATTAGGATTCATTAAGAAAAAGAGCGGAACAGCACAAAAAATCAAAACGTAGCAAGGGATGCATCCGAGCGAAAGGAGGGTAAGTCGCCAATCATGAATAAGTTCAAAAAATGACACCAGAGACTAATTAATTTCTAGTGATATAGATAGTGTAAGGTGCTTCAAAGTTAAAATGTAAAGTATTGACCAATTCGCAATTTCATTCACAATCAATGTAAATACAATTAATGAAAGGGTCACCACATGTTTAATTATCTTTAATGATGATGTTCTCCTGACCGATTCCGGCCACGGCGGCCAATCTCATTGAGACTAGCCAACTGCGCAGGAGATATTATAGTGCACAAGTGTACGTGCAGACACAAGTGCACTCTCTATTCCTGTCACTCTCATACTCTGGTGGGACGACCACTCGACACGACCAGTGAGAGTTAAGGCGCAGGACCGACGGCTTTACGTGCTCTCCGAGGCACGGTGAAACACCGCCAATTTCCCAACTCCGGGCTGTTACTGAGGCTTACAATACAGAAAGACTCAATAACTAAACTTGGCCCGACCCGGGACTCGAACCCAGGACCTCCGGGTGTGCAGCCGTACATGCTTACCACTACACCACCAAGGCAGTTATCTATCTTTAATAGGAAAGTGGTGGATAACAACATTTCTAACGAGATAATAATCTTTTGCCCTTAATTTCCATTCGATATGGTGCGCTCAAGAGGCCTGCACGACGCCATGGCTTTAATTTTTTAGCATGAACGAATTAACCACTGGACCAGACATATAAGCGGACGTACCTTTATCGGTCTTCTCAGTAACCAGGAGATTTTAGGCTTGGTCGTTTGTTTTTTGCGTCAGTCTCAAGCACTTATTTGTCAACAAAACATCTCCAAAAATGACTAAATGTTCTGTTAAATGATGTAAAAACTATAAACGGCGGAAGCAGCACTATTTCTTTTCACTTGTAAATACATTATTTTATTACATTTATTGTTATTTATCACACAATTTAATTAAATGTAAAATAAAATGTCATATTATCCAACTATGTTAAATATAGTCGATATTTCTATGTATTGTTGACATTTGACAACCATCATATAGGGGCTGGATTATACCATTCAGAACAAATGACAAAACTATCGAGTGAGTCCATTTGACATCGACTAGTGCTTGACAATGTCGAAAAATATATCGATATTTGACGAAATAACTAAACGAATTGTGTTATTTGCTACAGTACAATAACATAAAATACTTTTACCACAGTATCCTACAATCTGATGACAATAAATTTATAAAAATATTTTCTAAATCAAATAAAAATATAAATGCAAAAATTATAATTAGTATGTGTACTTAATTTTTTTTTTTTATTTTATTCCAAATTTATATACTTTGGAATATTATTCCATTGTAATAATAATAAAGATCATTTTATTTCAACACATAAATTACACAAAATCAAACAATAATGTTTTAGCACTAAAACTTCTGGGTTGGCGATTTGTAATAAAACACTTTACCACTTGCACTAATTATTTTACTTTCACGATCCAACA